AAATTAGAAAAATTGAAATTTTTTGGAAACATTAAAAAAATCTCTTATGAAATATTTTCTTTTAGAATGATGAATAAAATGTTTAAGACAAGGTGCTCATATACTGCTACCCTGTACTCCCCAAAATGTTTTCTAATGACTATGTAATAGGAAGACTTTTATGTAAGACTATCTACAGTATCAGATCATTACAATTCCTGTACACCGAGGACAAGCAGTACAGTACAATTCTCAAATGCAAGAGCAAGATGCATTTCTGCCCCCTGGGGGCACTGCCATTTTCACATGAGAAGGAAAGAAGATTCAGTGCCTTCTTTGCTTGTGGACTTCCACGATTGTTGACTTTTGATTTAGTCAACAGTCTGCTCCCGTCCTCCTGACTAGGCCTCAAAGGACTGGAAGTGGATACTGGCAGCAGCATCCATTCATTCCTGAAGAGATTAGAAACAGGGAGCTTATTGCCCTGCTTGCTCAAAAGCCTCAGGAGAGGAGATAGAGCAAGTCTAAAGGTTTTGGAGTTAGAAGGAGCCTGCCTCCTCCTGACCTTGTGACCTTGAGATCCACAGAAGTACAGGAGCAACACAAAGGAACTGAAAGAAAATATACTTCTTGATTGAAAGGTAAGAGTTTAAATTTCTCTGAATTCAGTATATTAAGCTATATTTTAGCTGCATTCATATATTTTCATAACCTATGTAATTCATAATTGAATTCCTACTAATCTGATGTTTTGTGACAAATCACCCAACCTAAGCAGTGAAGCGAGGCCTGCAGGGCAGGGCAGTTGTTCACAGTTAACTCTGAGGAGGCCTCCATTACTAAATTTGTACATGCTGTAGCTTAATGTTTATATATGCAAGCTAGCCACTAAATTATATTTTTCTTTTTTCTCCCTCAGCAAAGTGGTGTAGCCAACTTCTAGCATATGGAAACATTTCCACACTGCAAGTTATTATGAGAAAAAAAAATGTGATTTGCAAATACTGTCAAATGAAATATGCATTTCCAAATGCTACTAGGATGACAAAACACATCCTTGTATGTAAGAAGTGTCCGGTAGATATTAAAAAATCCTTCATGGGTGTAAGAGAGGAGGAAGTAGATCATGATGATGAAAGTGCAAGTAGCAAGTTCCAATGTTCTTGATCCAGAAGTCCTCCTCCTCCTCCTCCTTCTTCTTTAACATCAGCATCACAAAGGGTTGCCCAATCAACATCCTCAAGTAACCAAATATTGCAACCAACTGTATACAAAAGACTCTCAATAGCTTCATTTCTAGACAAGATGACACCTGAAGATCAGGAAAAAGATGACCAAGCTCTTGCAAGAGCAATATATTCTTCTGGGACACCACTGTCAATAACTAAAAATGCATAGTGGCAGGAAGCTTTTAAATTACTAAGACCATCATACTGTTTGCCAAGCAGGCATTCTTTGAGCAAGCCTCTTTTAGAGTCAGAATATGAATGTGTAATGCAATCTATGCAAGGAAAAATCAATGAAGCACTGTGTCTTGCAGTACTTACAGATGGATGGACAAGTGTGTGGGGAGAAGGAATCATAAACTTTATGATAACAACACCTCAACCAGTTTTTTACATAAGCACTGAAACAGGAGAGAACAGGCATACTGCAAAGTATAGCTGCAGTAAAATATGTGAAGTCCTACAGAAGATTGGGAGTGGTAAAGTATTTGCTTTGCTGACTGACAATGCAAGTAACATGAAAACAGTATGGGAGATCATAATGGATAAATACCCACATATTACTGTAATAGGATGTGCATCTCATGGGCTAAGCTTGCTTCTTAATGACATCATGAAGTTGGACACTCTGCAAAAGATCTATAGAAGAGCAAAATAAGTTATAAAACATGTAAAAGCTACTCATATTGTAGCTGCAGTCTTTAAGAAGAAGCAGGAAGAAAACATGCCAAGAATAAAATAGTGACACAAACTCTGTAGTAAAACTAGATGGGGTAGAGTGGTGATCTCATTTGAAAGTTTACTAAAAATAAAGAAGCTCTTCAAGAAATAGTAATAATTGAGGATCTTAAAGTATCCAGAAGTGTGAGGAACACTGTACTTGACGAGGATGTCTTCTGGGTTCAGCA